ATGCCTCTTGGTTACAATGTATAACAAATCTCTTTCCAGTGGTAATATGAATCATCTGTTTCCAAACTTGACTGTTCATATAATTTTCCAAGGAGACCTGAGGAACTTCTCAAAATACGAATATTTACCCTCCCAGCTTCCTCTCCCAAAATATGGGTTCATGGGTCTAAGAATAGAACTGTTTTGTTACTGAGGGTGGGGGGATCCCAAGGTGATTCTGATGATCACCCCGGTTTGGAAATCACTGGTATAAATATATTTTATTATAGATGTGTTCTACACATTAATGGAAGTAGACTGGCTTTTCACATGTGCTTTAACTCCCCCAGTATTTATTGCAATTTGCTTTATACAAAGCATTTACTAAGTCAGAGAGGGATGCTATCTCTTAGATAAAAACATATAAAAATTGGAAAAACAGGTATGTTAAGTCTCTTTGAGAGAAGACTGAGTTGTGAAACAGTGCTAATGAAATAGAGAAAGAAAAGAAGGAACAGGCTATAAACGTAACAAAAATATTAAGTCAATAATATCAATTACCCTATAGCTGTACACACTTTAAAATTTTCATTGCTTTTGAAAATAGGCAAAAGCCTGGAGGTTATATCCCAAGGGGCAAATGATAATTATGAAAAAAATTGTATAGGTACCAATGAATGCTCATGTCAGAAAATCTGTTTCCTTAAACTAATGTAGTCCTGATGAGTAAGTGACTCTATTAGCTATTCAAAGTATCTCCTACCACTATTCCAGCATTTCTTTGGTTTCAAAAATTACTATTTAATTATGCAACAAACAAGATAATGGCCAAGCCTGAAGGACTGTATCACTCATTACAAAAATTATATATTATCTACACATTATGTGCAAACAATTTGCTTGGTGCTAGAAGTAATTAAAAACTGAATGATGCTAATAGCAAACACTTATATGGCTCTTACTATATGCCAAAAACTATTCTAAACCCTTTATTTACATTAACTAATTTTAACTATATAAAAACCCTAAGAGGCATGTTACTATTAGCACCAGCACTTTACGGACTGGAAACTGAAGCACAGTGCAGTTAAGGAAATTCAGCAAGGTAACAGATGCAGTAATTGGACAATCAGATTTGAACCTAGGCACCCTGGCTCTACAGTCTGTGCTCTCTCTTATTCAATACCCTATGATGGCTCTTTTCAAGGAGTTTGCAGGTTAGCAAGAAATTTGTGACATGAACACAAATAACAGTATAAGGCACTATATTAATTCATTCAGCAAATATTTTTAATGGATAGAAATCCTGAGAGATATAGGTAAAGATCTACTTAAGAACACAAAATTTAGTTAAAAACAGTTTAGAATAAGTGTTTCATTATAGAAAACTTTGTTAGAAATAAGAACAGAAAGAATGTATTTCAGAAAGAATATATTTATGACTAAAAAAGATGTTTTCACCTCATATGGTTATAATTTTGTATAGTATAGGTGATAACATAGTTGACTCCCAAGCCAAGTTTTTTTTTAGTTTTTAAAATTTTTAAAAAATCCTCACCAGAGGACATGCCTAGAGAGGAATGGAGAAAGAGAGGGGGGTGGGAGGGAGGAAGAGAGACAGGAGGGGGAGGACACATCTTACAATGG